GATGGGCTCAGGTATGGCAAGGATTATTTCGTTCTGTTGTAAGGTTGCTATGAGTCAGAGATGACTCTACGGCACTTAACAACAACAACAATTATGTGCCAGACGCCGTCCCAGGTGCTCCTTGTTTCTTCTCTCACTTCACCCTTATGCCCACCTGAAGGTTAGGGGGTGTGTCCTCTCTGTCTGACCACTGAGAAGTTCAGGTTCCAAAAGCCAACCACTTGCACAAGGGTACCTGGCAAGTAGGTGGCAACCCTGAGAGTGGGTCAGAGAGCTGATTCCAGCTGCCCCTCCAGATCACACCTCCACACTCAGGGAACCCAAGCAGGTATGTCAACTTCAAATCCTGACAGCAGCCCTCAGAGAAACATGAAAGATACACAGTCACTGAGCACAGCTAGTTCATAGATGTACATACAATACGTCTGGCTGTGTTTCTGTGCGAGTGTGCACCCATAATCACACCCATCTTGGCCCCACAGGCTAAAAACACTGCATTAACATCAGTTCTAGCAGGTCCTCTCCTAGGGTTATGATGACAATATGCAAGAGCTCAGGTGTTGGAGGCAGATACTCCTGGATTCAAATTCCAGTTCAGCTACTTGTGTGCCCGCAGGCCAGTCACTCCCAGAACCTGTTTCTCTATATACAGGAGGTTAAGCCCTGTCGTGCGGATGTGCAGGTAAAGGCGCTGAGCCCAGTACGTAGCACACATTAAGCCCTTGGTGCCTGCTGCATATGACAGCTGGGCTAGAGCTTCCTGCAGGCAAGAGCCCTTGAGGCCAGGCAGAACACAGGGGTCTCTGGAGAGCCAAACAGAGGGCCTCTTTCTTGTCCTCAGTAAACTGACCTTCCTGCCTCCTTCTGCCCAGAGCTAGATCCAGCTGTGTTTGTGGACCATGAACCCAGGGACCAGCAGATCAGAGCCAAAGGCCCTCAGAGGCAGGAGACTGCAGAGGGCACAAGCTGGCAGCCCATCGGCTATATCATGCCTGCAGGCCACCTTCCTTTGGCCCGTGCAGGTGTTTTAATTTGATTTAACATGTATAAATTGGGGGATTGCATATAAAAATCCAGATTCCCCGGCTTTATCTTTAATCAAAAGATCTTGCGGCTCTGTGCCCACATTCCTGCATGGCAACAACTGGCTGAGCCTGAGGAGTGGCTCCATTTTGCCAACGCCGCTCTTACACTGGGTCTGTTTTGTTTGTTAGCTGCCTGGCATTGGAGTTTGGGAGCTCTAATCTGAGCTTGGGGATGAGGGATACCTACCCAAAATCCCATAGTAAATCAGAGGTGGAGCTGGGACTTGAGCCCTAGGCCTGCAGTTCTGCATCCAGTGTGCTGGGAGGTCACACAGAGGCTGGGGACACAACCTTGCAATGAACTTCAAGTTCCCAGCTGTCAGGTGAGAAGAACAGGGGACCTGGGCTGAGGGTAAATCCTGTCCAGGAGAAGTCTGCCAGGGCAGGCGAGGCAGGCAAAGCAAAGAATACCAGCTCTGGCTGCAGCTAGCAGAAAGCGTTCTTCTTCCCGCCTGCTAGCAAACACTGACCTCCCCCACCCTGCAAACTAAAGTCCAGGCCAACGGGTCAGCCTGCACAGGGCCCTGTTGGTTCCATGCTCTCCGGTGTCTCCCTCCCTGCCCTTCCCCTGAGCAGGCATCATTGCTGTAGAGGCCCCTGGTGTGTGCAAAGGGCAGGGGCTGTGCCCTAAGGCAGATCAGAGCTGGAAACAGGGCTTCTAAACAGTTCAGTCATGGTGTTTAGGACATGTGCCATACCTGCCATACCTTAGCTATGCCTCTTGTCGGGATGGTCAGTGAGAGGGATTGGCTCCAGCCTGTGACGGATAGGAAGGGATCGCTGTGCCCATCTTACAAATGCAGGGTGAGCAAGGCTCAGATAAGGCCCTTAGTCATCGACTCAAGAATAAAAGGCATCAAGGTACCTTGTCCTAAGCCCTCTTCCTCTAGAGATGGGAGTTCTAGTAGGCTCTGACGTTAACCCTCTGTGCGACCTCAGGGATTCAGTCTACTGGTTTGCAAACTGAGGCAACTGAGATGTATGAACTTTAAGAACTCCCAAGTATTATCTGTGATTATAGATGGTTGTTGTTGTTTTTATGTGCTGTTGAGTCGGACCCAACTAACTCATAGCAGCCTCTCCTTGGGTTTCTGAAACAGTATCACTACGGAAGTAGATCGCCCAACCTTCCTTCAGAGGAGTGACTGGTGGGTGTGAACCGCCAGCCTTCTGGTTAGCAGTCCAGTGCCTTAGGCACTATGCTACCAGAGCTCCTGATTATAGCTGGTAGTTGGTAAGAATTTAATTCAGAAGTAGGAGCGGGAGCCTCTGAGAAAGCCAGCCTTTCTATCAGTCTCTGTCTCTGTCTCTCTCACACACATACACCAAAAAACCCTCCAAAACCATGCATACATATGCACACACTGTGAGTGTGAAACTCCCACAAGGCCTCTCAGGCAAGCTATGGACTGGGAGAAAATATGTGCAAAATAGATATTTGGCAAAGAACTTGTAATCAGAACATACAAAGAATTCTTACAACTCAATAATAACAACCTAATTTTTTAAAATGGGAAAAGATTTGAACAGACACTTCACCAAAGAAGATATACAGATGGCAAATAAGCACACAAAAACATGTAGAGCATTAGTCGTTAAGAAAATACAAATCAAAGCTGGAAGGATCTACTACTACACACCTATTAGAACGGCTAAAATTAAAAAGGCTGACCACACTAAGTGTTAGCCAGGATGTGGAGGAACTGGAACCCTCACACATTCTGCTGGTGGGAAGGTAAGGGAAGCAACAATTTTGCAAACACTTCAGCAGTTTCTTAAAAAGTTAACCATACATCTACTAATTGATTCGGCCATTCCATTCCTAGGTATTTACTCAAGAGAATGTAACTGTATGGCAGCAGAGGATATACAAAGATTTATACACAAATGTTCACAGAAGTTTTATTCACAATAGCCAAAACCTGGAAATAACCCAAATGTCCGTCAACAGATGAATGGATGAACAAATTGTGGTTTATCCTCTATCCATACAATGAAATACTATACAGCAATAAAAAAGAATAAACTATTGGTACCAAACCAAAAACCCAAACTCATTGTAATTGAGTTGATTCTGACTCATAGGGACCTCCATTGGGTTTCTAAGGCTGTAAATCCTTATGAAAGCAGACTACCTCATCTTTCTCCAGCAGAGCAGCTAGTGGGTTCGAACTGCTGACCTCTTGGTTAGCAGCCAAATGCCTTAACCACTAGGCCACCAGAGCTTCTAAACTATAGATACACATAACATGAATTAATCTAAAAATAATCAGGCTGAGTGAAAGAGGCAAGCCCCCCCCCCAAAAAAAAGTATACACTGCATGATTCCATTTATAAAAAAATCTAGAAAATGCAAACTAATCTATAGTTACAGACAGCAGAGCTGGTTGCCTGGGGATGGGAGGGAGAAGGTGAGGCATGAGAGGGAGAAATTACAAAGTGGCAAAAGGAATCTTTTGAGGATAATGGATATGTTCATATCTTAATTGTGGTGATGGGTTTGTGGATATACATGTCAAAACTTAGTAAACTGTATACTTTAAATATGTGCAGCCTTTTTTGAATGTCAACTCCACTTCAATAAAGACTGGAAGAAAGAGGAAAAAGGGCAGCATAAGGAGTAGCAGCAGCAGAAAAAAAGAGTCTCTCTTAGGAAGCCAGGCACATACATATATTCAGACACCCCCACACACACACAGGCACACTGAGTATGAAACTGCCACATGGCTCTCTAGGGTAGCCCCTAGCGTCTCAACCCAGGCTTCCAGCTGCTGGAACACCATGGCTTTTTGCTAGTATCTCAACATTTTTTCTGAGTGCTTCCTGTGTGCCTGCCTTGTGCTACATACTGGGGATTCAGAGATAAACCACACACAGTCCTTACCCTCTGGAAGTTCATTCTAACAGCCACAGTGCATCATTTCCAAAGTTCAGCCTAAACATTTAGCCACATGCTCCAAATACCCCAGCCAGGTTCCCTTCACAGGACCCATTAGAGCTCTCCTTTTTGGACCTGATTATGTTTCTAGCCTTGTCACCTCTTGGGAGAAAACCTTTAATTAGCTCATGACCCCAACATAATTCTGTCTTTTATCAGGTGCAATATAGACATCCAAGCCAAACCCCAGGCAATTTCTAATAAGACTGAGAACTGAGTCAGTCTTCAAGAATCACAGAAATTCAGGGAGGAAAGGATCTGAAGGTTTCAAAGCCCTACATCCCTCTAATTAATACTCCATTTCTCTGAATAACATTCCTGTTCTGGGGTTACCCAGGCCCTGTTTGAACACTTCCAGTGCCAGGGCACTCACTACCAACTGAAGATGCACTGGAGTTCTGGAAAATCAGGGAAATTGTAAAGTTCTTTCTACCTGTGAGTAGAAGGGTATTGCCATTTATTAAGCACCTACTGTATTCTAAACCTTTTGCCAGAAGATTTACCCATATTTGATTTCCAATCTAGTTTAATTTTTATAATCATTTTGCTCCTGTGAGACCAGGGTTATGATTATGATGTCCATTTTTACTACTGAGGAAATGAATTATCAGAGAAATTAAGTGGCTTGTCCATGGCCACAAAGGAAGTCCATGGTAGAGGCTGCTTCGACAATCCAAGTGTGTCCAACTCCAAAGTCCATGCTGTCTCTACTCCATCACTCAGAGACCTGAATGAGGGTCGGAACACTGTCCAGAATTCAACCCTGGTACCCTTCATCTGGAAAGATTCAGGAGGGCTTGGCCTGGCTGGTCTCTAGGATTCCTTACAATACCAATCTCCTGCCAGTCCTAACTTCCTCTGAGGTCCATCCTCTCTCAGGAAGAGTCTCCAGAGTGAGAACCCCCCCCCGGCCTATAGGGGTGGGGGAGGGGCTTTCCAGAAGAAAGTCACGAAACAGGGCATTGGTTCAGTTTGTCCTACAGCTCCGAGCTGGGCCCTGCCACATGGCGCTCTAGCACAGTCCCAAGGTGGTCCACCTCAGGTGGCTGTCTCTGCAGGGAGGGGATAGGAGGGTGTAAGGTGTCAGATGCTTTCCACCCTCTGAGAGCAGAGCTTAGGATGGTGACTAGGAACTTGGGCTACGAGAAAGAGTTGTGGGAATTGGAAGAGGGACCACTGAAAGACAGCATTGGAGCTGGATCTGTTTAAGATGGACATGGGGAGAGAGCAGTAGTGGTGAGAAGAAAATTTCAAGCAGAGAAAACAGTGAGTAAAGATACTGAGGTGAAAAGGAATGACCCTGTGGAGGGAATGCTGCCAACCTGAGATGGAACAAGTCCAGGGGCCACTTACGGACTTTAATGAAGTAATAAATCCTCAAAATGACCTTATCTAGCTCTTTGACCAGCATACTCCAGTAAGGCCCAGAAAAACCAAGCAAACCAAACTCACTGCCGTTGAGTCGGAGCCAACTTATAGCAACCGCTCCTTGGATTTCCGAGGCGGTATCTCTACGGAAGTAGATTGCCCAATCTTCCATCCAAGGAGTGGCTGGTAGGTTTGAACCACGGGCCTTCTGGTTGGCAGTCAAATGCCTCAGGCTCTGCGCCACCAGAGCTAGCAATTTTCCTAATAAGCATCCAGCTAAAGACTGGGGAGGGAAGATCTGAATCACAGCCCTAAGAGAGGAGGAATAGGGAGAAAGAGAGTGAAAAAGCAAAGGGAGAAAGAGGGTGGGAGAATGTAGGTCAGATATTGAATCCTGGCTCAGCCACCACTTGACAGCTGTGTGACCTTGGACAAGTTGCTTCAATTTCCTGGCTCAGTTTCCTCATCTATACAATAATATCCTCACTAGGGCTGTCATGAGGATGCCCTAAGGTCACATATCCTGTGCCTGGTATGTACTGTATGCTTAATAAGGTGGCTGTTGTCATTGACCTGGATGAGAGTTGGACCTTACAGGGTCAGAGAAGTCACTCGGGCCTATAGAGAAGAAGAAAGACAGAAGGAAGCAGCATTTGTGGATGGTGCCTGTATACAAAGCACCTTGTCGGATCACCCCATTTCCTTTCAAGACAAGAACTATCGATCTGTCCTTGGTAGATGAGAAAATGGACTGGGGGGTGAGACAGTTTGTCTGAAGTCACAGGCTGACAAGTGGTGGAACTGCAAATAAACCAGGCCCAACTTGGAGGCCCCTGCTCTCTGAGCAGTGAGTGGCTTCCAGGAGCCCTGGCAGCTGCCTGAGGAGCCGAGGCTCCTCCTCCCCTGGCTTTGCACCCCAAACGTGAGGAAGTTGTCGGTCAGCATCTTCGGCTGCACCATTGCCTTTGCCTCACTGCAGAGGTGATGTTTAACACACTTTTCTCCAGTTAAGCTCAGTGTCCAAAATCTGCCACTTCTGGAAGGAAGGATGGAAGAGAGGTGGGTCACACAATGAATGAAGGAGGGGGTGGGGTGGGAGGCGAGAGGGAGAAGTGGTGCCAAAGCAGCCTCCTGCCCCAAACGAGGCTTTAGGACAGACCTGGAATTCACTGTGCCTCTCGGTTTCTACCATCTAAAAAGCTGAAGAGAACAGGGGGCTGCCCTTTGCTGGGGGCCACCAGCCCTAGGCCCCAGCCAAGCTGGTGGGCTCACGCCCCAGGACTCACATTACACAACCCTATTCTCCCTCTCTGCGGCCCTCAGCCCGCCAGCCCTTTAGGTTCTGCTCTGGTCCTCGCCCCCTCCCTCCAGGAAGATTTCTTGGCTGGCCCAGCCTACAGCCATTCTTTCTCCTGGGAACGCTCATGGCACCCAGCCCTATGCTAGAATTCCAGATCCTCGGAACTGCCAGAGACTGTCAAGCACAGTCACTCTAAACTCTGTCCCATTTCAAGAGTTCCTTCCAGAACATTCAGGCCTGTGTGAGCAACGCAGAAAGGAGGAGCTAGTTCTCAAAACACAGTTTCATAGCCAAATGGTTTTTCATAATAGAATGGTCTCCCTTGAACAGAAGTAAAATTTGCCTCCCTGGCACTTTTAAGTACTGGTCTGGGACCTGTCCCTCAGGGCTTTGGGAAGCCCTGGCTTTCTTCTTTGAGTATCTGCAGACAATTATCTTTACCCAAAGACTATTCATCTGTCATTACAATATAGAAAGCCAAGTGCAATACACCTAGGATGGGTCCTGACTCCACCACCTCATGGTTGTATAATTTTAGGCCAGGATTTTTTTTTTAGTAGCCCATTTCCTCATCTGTACAAAATCCGTACCTCACCAGGTAGTGGGGAGAATTAAAGATGCAATGCATGCAGAGCACTTAGCACTGACCTCCCCAATCGTATGGACGCCACAAACGGTAGTTGTATTATTTTGTTCTTTAATCACTTCTTTAGAGGCACTATGGTTTAGAGGAAAGAACATAGCTTCAATGCCATGTCTTTAAATGCAGGCTCTGCCACACAGCAGCTATACCCTTGAATAAATTATTTCACTTCTCTGAGCCTCAGTGTCCTCATGCATAAAATGAGGTTAGCATAAGTAGATGCTGCGTGGGTCTGACCTGTTCTGCTGCTTCTTGTTTGCCCTGGCCCATTTGTGTCTTTGCCCTTCTTCTTGGGGTCTGCCCCGTTTTTCAGGCTGACAATAACACAGCTACATTTTACTATAAGCAGGCACACAACTGAGGGCTTTAGATGAAAATTCCATTCAATCTCCATTCAAATCCCTAAAAAGTGTACGATTATCGTTGGCACCTAATACTCAGAAGGTGCGCAATCAAGTGGCAGGTGTTGCTAACACTTCTATGTGCCAAGGTCTGTGCTCCACCCATATATCCTCCCTCCAACCTGCTAACAAGCTCCCCGAGGGTAGGAACAACACCTTGATGCATGGCCACAGAGTAGACACTCAATAGGCATTGGTTGAATGAATGGATATAAATACTTCTTTGCATTCCCCTAGAGTGGTCAGAACAGAGTCTTACTATAGTAGGTGTTTGATGAATATTTGATTAACTGGAGCCACAAAAATGTCCCTTTACCGTGAGTCCCAGAACCTGCAACAATGTCAGCAGGGTTTCTCTAGCTAATTAGGAGCTCCTCTGAGGGTCTTATTTATTATCAGTTATTCTGTGAGATCAGGGCCCTTGATGCTCTAGGCTTTCTTTGAACCAGATCCCAGCTTTCCCTCTGCAGGGCTGTACAGGAGGGCTGTATGCAAGAGAGAGTGCTTGCTGTCCAGGCTACTTTACAACCCAAGCACAAGGTGACTCAACCTGCCTGTAAGGCCAGTATGGCTTCCAGAGAGTAGACACTTTCTTCCCACTGAAGAACTGCCAGAAGCCTCTTCTCCTGCCTGTCTCTCAAGGGTGGCTTCTGTGCCAGGCCTCATGGGCCACCAGCCAAGTTCCCTCTTCTGAGGGAGCTGACCAACCTTCCAGAGGCTCTGCAGCAGGGAGGCCTGGCTAAGGCCAGCTTCAAAGGGCACAGGGGTATCTGCAGGCCTTAGTCCCGAGTGACTCAATCGAGACAGTGCAGCTAAAAGGGAAGCGGTACAACTAGGATCCCAGAAGCAAAAGATTATAAACTGCCAGATGAAGGCCAAACTCCCTAGCCTTGCAGACAACGCCTGCCCGGCCCAGGCCTGCCTTTTCTTCCTTGCTTCCCTTCTCTGCCCTCATCCGTGGACCAGCCAGTGATGACTGAGCAATGTACCAGGCTACTAAAACTTGACATCAGAGGCCCCAAACCAATGACTGTCAGCACTGGACATACACCCCAGAGCTAACTGGTTCAAATTCAAATACTTAAAAATTACAGCAAAACAAGAGCAAGGACCCAGCCAAACAAAAGACAGGCAAAGGAGGTGAACATTTACCTGAGGTACAGACACTCCCTGGAGAGAACAATCATGGGAGAAAGAAGGGCTGTTTATGCACAGGGAGACAGCTCAGGGAGCAGGGGTGCATGGAGGGATGGACACAGGGAAGAGGTGACTATCGGGAGGAAGTGGGAGGGGAGCTGTTGCATTGTGGGAAACTGTGGTCAACGTCATGAGACAAAGTGAATGTGAACTGCTGTATGGAAAGTGAATTTGCTCTGTAAACTTTCACCCAAATCACAATTTAAAAAAAAAGAAGAGCAACGAAAAAAGAAAACTAGCTTCCTGTTTTTACACCAAAATAAAGTGTTGATACTCACATGGGAAAGAAAAAAAAAGTTGCCTAATTGGCTAAATTTAAAAAGCAGGAGATTTCACGAAAAAAGAGCATCCGGATTTCTGTGTCATCAATCAGAAGACCTGACAACATCAGGCCCCCATTCTTGCCTGGCCACAATGCTGTGGGACAGCTAGCAGCAGTCTCGTTGAAGCAGGGACTTGCCATCATATTTGGCCTCTGTAGGCAGCTGAGTTTGAAGGCCTTTGCCTCACTTGTTTTCCTATGGTATACAGACATTATAAAACTTGACTACAAACCAAAAGGCTGGCGGTTCAAACCCACCAGCCACTCCTTGGAAGGAAGATGGGGCAATGTACTTCTATAGTGGTACTGCCTCGGAAACCCAAGGAGGCGTCGCTATGAGTCGGGTCTGACTCGACGGCACATAACAACAACAACAACAATGGCCTTATGAGGGAGATGGACTCATTTCCCCTTTTTACAGATAAGAAAATGAAGCCCTGAGAGAAAAAGTAACTTGTCCAGTAACCAAATTCAAGTAGTGTGACCCCAGAGCCAAACATAAGGACACTGGTCTACAGCAAAATGAACAAAATATGTTTGGGTTTTTTTACTAAAGCAAAATGTACTCAATTTTAAGGCATGTCCGCCCCCCCCCCCCCGATATTATGGCCTTTTTATTTTGGGGACGTGGTTGCTGATTGTCAAATGTGCTTGAGTCAGCTCTGACTCACGGCCACCTAGCGTGTAACACGCGATGCTGCCTGGTGCCGCCTCTTCATGGTCATCGCGGTGATCGTGTCCGCCAGCTCACTGAGGAACTCCATCGTTTTCACCGACCCTCTACTTCATCAACCACGGCAGCAGAGGTGTTAACGTGTTCA